GCAACGCTGCTAGAAGCTGCTAAGATTCGAAAACATGATGCGCTCCTTGAAATCGCAAGAAATACCCGTGAAGGGGTTGTACCCGAAATATATTATCATAGGAAATGTCGCAGTGCATTTACCATCAAGAGAGATTTGGAGTCGCTTAAAAGAAAACAAGTCCTGGAAGAGGAAATCTATGAAGATGAAGCTTCAATTCAAACACCAAGAAAAAGAAGTGCATCCTCCTCAACCCGGGTCTACCAACAGGAATGCATTTTCTGTGAGAGACCCAAGTATGTAAACCGAAGACTAGAGAAGCTTGTCAGAGCTACTCAGTTAAGAGTGGACCAGACGCTGCGCAAGATAGCTACCGTGAGATGTGACGAGAAGATCCTGGCTATTACAAGTAGAGACATCGTCGCAGCAGAAGCGCATTACCATAGATCCTGTTGCCGTGACTACACCAGGCCCACTCAACAGCCACACCTAGAGAAAAATGAGACCGATGATGATGATGCCGAATATGACGCTTTCTTAGAATTGTTTCGTCTTATTAGAAGTGATGTTTTAGATTCGCAAGTCGTGGTAACTATGATCGATTTAACAAAGAAGCTTGAGTCCTTTCTTCAATCCAGAAGTAAAGAACCACTTAAAGAATCGACCAAGAAACACATGAGAAGGAAACTGGAGTCAGAGTTCGGTTCCACGTTAGAAATTTTCCCAGATGAGAAAGGAAAGCTACTGGTTATGCCTGCAAACCTGAATGTAAAGGAAACAGTGAAAAAGATGATAAGCATCGAAAAGGAACTAAAGAGCCTGAAGTCCAAAGCATCAGAATTGCAGAGCATCGTTGATCAGAGCGCTGGACACTTGCGAAAGGCGATCTTAGATATAAAGTGGACAACGCCATGGCCTATTCTCCCATCTGATTTATCCATTGATCAGTTTCCTGTGCCAGAGTGTCTTCGCCGCTTTTTGATGGGACTTCTGACATCTAATCCTGACATGACGAATCCCTCTGCACGAGTAAAGATGTTACTCGAGTCCTTCAGCCAAGACCTTATTTATGCAGTGACCTGTGGCAAGACAAAACCACCAAAGCAGAACTTAAAGTCAGCTCTGCAATGGAAAAAAAATACAATAAATAAATACAATAAAATATTCAACCTCAATACAGTGAAGGCATTAAGTAAACCTGTGAAATAAAAAATTAGAGTGAAGTCACTAATATTGGTCCAATGAAATGGGATAAACAAATATACCTTAGCAGACAACGATTTCTCTACTTGTGAACATGTAGTTGATAATTAGAAAAGAACATCAGAATTAGGATCTGCTAAGGTGTACTGGTCTTATATCTTTTCACAGGTTTAATGCCTTCACACTAATGTTGGGAACACTACACAAGTGTTGGCTTAAAAACAGTCAAAATGGCTAACAAATTAAATGGCCCTCACCTTTGTAATCATTTCTAACTGCTGCTTTGTTTGCTTTTTTTTTTTTGATGCGGGTGGAGCCACAGGAGTACTGTTTTCTGCTTCATCAAAATCAGTCAAATCTTAGGTTCCACTTGTCAGAAATATGTTGTGCCCGAGGTCTGCTTGTATTCTTCTTCTCTCATCCATATGTTTCCTTATCAACTGAGCAATGACATTTCTTGCAAGCCCCAATCTTTTAAATGTGAATTCATCTTTAGAAGACAGTTCCTCCACTACTTTCATTAGTTTCTGACTATTTTCTTGGTTGTTGCGGAACTTTGGTGGTGGTAAATTTGTTGGCCACACACTTTTGATGTACGTTGTTATTTTTCTCTTTCTAATTAAAAAAAAAGTAAATTAATAATGCTAATATCAATGTACGCCCTGTGGGGGGCGAAAGCAAACAGGTGCCCCTGGGTCAGGAATTTGATCAGAAACCCAGAAATTTAGTCAACAATAATTTCTTCATCCTTCTATTTTTCATGTTACTTGATCAGCAACTGCTTATCTACCYTAGGGCATTTGAATTTCTTTAAAGCTTTTTTTTTCCAAATTTCCACCCTTTGCCCGTATACCCCAACCATGAGACTAACATTGATAGGTGCATAAATAAGAAGAAACAAATAGAGAACAGGCACGCAATTAGCAGCAAGCAAATATTCTATGAAATTCAACACAGCCTTCAAATGCGAAACTGAGCTACTTGTCTTCAACAACAACTGCACTTTTTATTTATCTATTTATTTATTAATTTTTTTATAGAAAGCTATACAATGAAGTAAAGTTAGTTTTGACTCTCATATTGAAAAGGACTTACTTTGTGTTATAGAGTGATCTATCACTTTTATTAAGGGTGTCTTTCTCCTGATTTGTCAGGAGGCGATCCAAGGATGAAAATTCGACAGAGTTTGAAGCTAGTGGGGTCTCTCCAGCCGGACTTTGAGACGAGCACTCACCTGGGAAAAAAACCAGTCAGGGATTTTAATTTAAAAAAACTGTAAAAACATTTTAAAAATGGCGCTACGATAACCTTTCAAGTTTGCTAGCTATGATTTTGGCGGGAAACCAGGTCAAGCAACTTACGATGAATAGAATTTGGAACTAATTTATTTCATTTTCATAGGCGCCATTTTCGAGCTAAATTGTAGATTAAATACAAATTTTAGGCTTGAAAAAACCAACATAAATTTGAAAATTGAAATTTTCAATTCCCATCGAAAGTTGGAACATTGCCTGATCAAATTGCAACATTGGTATTTGGGTCACAAACGAACGACTGTAAGAGAACTTTGCTTACCTTTCAGCTGTTTTAGCTTTTCTATTAATTTCTATGAATAGTGAGGAGACGCAGTTTTTCCATAGAATCTGTGCTCATTATTGTTGACGAGAACAAAATGCTACCATCAATTTCTTCGGCCACAAACTTCTCACCGATGTCTTCGTCAAATGCGTTTTTTGCCCAAGCACTCAATTCTTTAACACTTCACTCTTTGAAAAAAAAAATCCATAGAAAAAAATTAGTCACAGTTACCAATATGTTAGACTTAAACTCGAATGAACCTGAATTTACCTGATGCATTCTTTTCTAGAGTACTTGTGTGCTTTGGGTCATTTTTGGGCGGTTCTAGGATCATATCGTTTTGCCGCTTACGTTCTGGTATTGTATTCACTATTGGCTTAAAAATGAGTCATCGCTCTCCGAGCTCGCGGATTCAAGATCGGTGTCTTCCAAGAGAGAAATGTTTGGATAGGCAACGTTTCCTTGCTTCACACTCGCCATTACCGTACTTTCACCCGAACTTGCTCGAGCTGGCCTGGTCAAGCATGTGCAAGAAAACATATTTTACATGTGTTTTACAACGATTTCTATTGGCACATTTTCCCGCGCTTTTCAGTTCTATTCTATTTATCAATATGATTGGCTGGCTCGCTTTATGGAACACAGCCCTCCGCGGCCATACACATGAATTTGGGACCCAACCCAGTCCTCTAGCAAAACAAAGATGGCTGACGAAGTTGCAGGCGGGAGCAACTTCATTTCTTCACTTTGCCATTGCAACGAGCGCAGAGCCTTTCATGTTCATTGTTTTTGTATAAATTGTAAGGGCAGAGCAGTTAAAGTGGTTGATATGGATAAAATACACTTGATTTTTTTCACTCAGACCATTTTATATATGATATCTTAACAATTATGTCCTATAAGGTCTTACTTTTTTTTTGAGAAACGGCATAAAAAAAACAACAAATTTGTCGTAACTAAGACCGCCATTTTGGGTCGCCATATTGAAATAAGATACCATGCAATTGCAATGAGCATGCGTATCAGAGATATAAGTTAGTCTAGTGAGGTCTTGTTTTACACGCAGTAACACGAACCTAGTAGTTGTTTGATGTGTCACATGATAAAAAGAACCTATGAGAAGACGTTGTTGTTATGACCTTGCACGTGAAAACTTCACACCTCTCTTCTTGTTCGCTGCTCTTCTCGCTTGCTGATTGAAGCTTGTTGCTTTAACTTTGTCTCAAAATATGACTTCTAAAGAGAATGCGTTGTTGGTTTTCGTCAACGAATTTGAAAGAGAAGGGTAAGTACTTTTCTATTGAATATTTTCAACTTTCGTTGTACCGTTATAATAATCAAAATTTTTAAAACGTTTTAGACTTGTGATACCCGAGGGTCTAGTGCGGTTGCTCAAAGGATTCTCTATCAAAAGCGGGGAGAGCAGCGAGAAAATGAGAAGCCGCATTTACCGACGGCTTTGGTGCCTCATGTGGGTAAGTAACTAGTATTTTATTTAGTTTTAGAATTTTGAAGAATTTTTACTAGACGGTACTGCTAGCTAGTTGTGTATGACTCGGAATATTCAATCACTATTACGCCGTAGTAACACGTGCGAGTATTCAGACGTGAAATTTTCTTTAAAATAATATTGTTCTCTATATCTGAAAAATTGGGCATATGTATTTTAGGACGTGATAGATGTTATTTAATTCTCTAGTTTGGAAGCAGGATCGGGGAATACGTGGTCGCTGGAACCACGCAGAAACCAACAAACGTCTATCCAGACTGTGTGAAGCAAGTCATAAGAGCAATGGTCCCTGGTAACCTAGCGGACTATCCAGATCCTACGGGGTCAAGGGTATGTCATAAATTCATCACATATCCTCAAATGGTAATAGTATTCAATGGCATCCACTTACATGAAAATAATCAATTTCTCTCCGTATTGTGTTCCCAGAACAAGACATACATGTAACTGTGGAAATAAATATATTCTTCCTCAAAATTGTTTTATAGGTGTACCATGTCAAACTAGAAAATTTTTCCAGAGCCAAAAGGCCTGCCACAAAGAAGTAGATGGTTTAAATAATCTTATGTTCACTTTCAAATTTAATGGAAGACATGTGTATTTTTTAATTTTTTTAATTTGTCTGTAAATCGATTATGATCAAATACCTAGCAATATTTTGTATGTAAATATCTAACGCAAAAGATTATCCTTTGAATGCTTTTAAAATGATGTACTATGAAATAAAAAGGCTTCTACTGTTTCTTTTTTTTTTCAAATTTTAGTAATGAAATAAGTCTGCAATTCTTTCTTTTGATGCTACTATCCAGCAAAATAAGTATAATTTGTAACCACCGGAAAACTTTATACCAATAATAAATCCTTTTGATTTGAGAACTTCATAGCATTCATGTTTATTYATTTCATATACTAATGTTAAGCACACTATATAGAAACATTTAATTTTGTAACTACTGGAAAAATATACACATAATAAACCACTGTGATTACTATGACCAGCAGTTTGTCCCTATTACTAAAGTTGTGCTCCTCTTCACTTCTCCCTTTCTATTYCCATTCCCTATTTCTTTTGCATTTCTTGGATAGACAGATAACAAAATGATATAAAAAGGTTCACCAAAATACAGTTACAATTAAAATATGCTTGGTGGATAATAAGTTTATTATACAATCCTGCAAAGAAGACACTTTCTACTTTTTTGTAACTACTTTTTTACAGTAAGGGACATGACAGAAAGCAGTCCACAATACAGTCTCATTAATTTGTGAGTTCTCTGTAAAATTGTATAATCTACAGTCTTAGTGTATCTATTAAGAATTTTTGTTTTTATTCAAAGGACAAGTTCTGTGGGAAATGCGCAAATGTTTTTTACTTCCGCATCTATATTGCTGTCCACCAATATTCACTCTGGCTCCTCGGGGAGCATCGTTGCTTTCGGTTGTTCCCGAGTGCCAGTGTTCTTGCGAATGTTCTTTTGTACCTCCTGTAATAATTCTTCTTCCCCAACATCTTCCCCTTGGTCCCCATAGTTATGCACAATCTTTTGTCTCTGAACAAATTTTTTCCTATTGTGAACAAAAATAAATAAACAGTTTGAATTTTTTTTTTATATATACAGATGCTGGTTCTAAATGTTTCTTACCTTTGTTTGCTCTCTTGAAGACGTTGTTGCTTTTTCTTTGCTCTAGCAGATTTTGCTGCATCTGTTCTTTTCTTGATAAGCCCCTTCATTCTCCTTTCATTTTCCATTCTCCATATTTCCTCCAACCCATCAGGAGTTGGGAGGTGCAACAGGTCATACTATTCCTTCATCCAGTGATATGACGGACCATATTCTTTATACATAAATGTCATATTACTCTGGCATAATCCAACATGTGTAATAAATTAATAATGTAATTGGTGTAAGTTAACATTCTTTGTGCGAAAGCGAGTCAACACATTAAACTTGCTCTCAGGCATGCTTGAGTGTCATCTCCCCATTTCCTCATGCACAATATATTTGGCTTTCTGAGAAATTCGGGTACACTCAATCTCGTACAACAGAGCATGAAGCTCACAATGAAGAATCTTTCGAGTCGTATATGACTTACCAGGGCATTTCAACTGAGGATCTTCATCTTCATCACTATCATCAATGTCATCATAATCGCTGTCTTCATTATCACTGCCATCATCATTACTATCATCATCATCACTTTCATCATCATCACTTTCATCATTAATATCACCATTATCATCACTTTCATCATTACTATCACCATCATCATTACTAACATTATGATCGCCATCACTGCCATCATCATCATCACTGCTTCCAGCATCATTACTGTCATTACCATCACTTCCATTGCTTACACATGACCCACAAGAGCAAATAACCAGGGAATGAAATCCACACTCCTCATTTTCGCCATCCTTATTTATCCACTGGTGTATATTTCTGTAGTGCTATCTTCCCAATGCTATCATACGCCTGGAATATTCCTCTGAACTATTGTGACTCTGTTTTAGAGCAGAAAAATGATTTCGTTTTCCAGCAGCAATGAAATCATCAGAAAGACACCCACATGATTTGGAGTGTTTCTTACCTTCACAACAGCATTTTGCTTTGCTAATTTCTGGGTGGTTTTTCTTGTGCTTATCAATAAAGCCTTTGTCAACAACTTTCTTCCCCTTGTATTCCTTCAAATTGTTCCCATGGGAACGTCCAACATGACCTCCACACAGCACCACACGATTCAACTCACCATCAGGAAAAATACTTCTAAATGATATTTCAGCAGTTGAATCTTGATCCTGCCAATTTAAAGCAATGTTGAGGCCCTCTTCTTTGGCCTCCGTGAAAAGCAAATAGGCAAGGTGGCCCTCGGCAGCTTTGGAAGTGCCTTCCCATAAATCAGTGTTACAAACACTCTTTTTCCCTCTCATACAAAGATGACCATAATACAAAATTCCACCAGAAATAAAATCAAGGATAACAAAGGTACAGCATCGACTATGAAAGCCCCTTACCAACATCCATCAGAAGTTGTCACAGCACGCTGCCAAGTACCTAGTTCTTCAGAAGCCTTTGACTGCATATTGCTCTTTGCTTTTTCACACATGCCATCCAAGACAGTTTTAATGTGTGGGTAAGCCAACTTAATAATTTTCTGGAAATTAATTCTTGCCAGAACATCTAAACCCACACCTAACTTCAAAACCTTGTAATAGTTATGGTAACCTTGTCCATATACAAGAAAGCAAAGGGCTGTTTCCAGAGACACACAGTTTCGTTTGTGGTGTAATAATGCAACCTGACTACTGGCATAGTGAATTTCATTGCCACAGCCAGAACATGCAAAATTGACCTTTACTGCACCTCCCAGGCCTTTCTCTTGGATCTTTACTGGTACAAGTTTTCCTGATTAAAACAAAAGTTATGAGTTATGATTTCATATTCACTACATTTATAATCTCATTTTAATTGATAAGCTTTTGGCCAATATTGGCCATCTTTAGGGCTATATAAAATAACTTACGATGGCAAAGCTCACAATGTGTTTACATGACAGATGGAAACATATAAATACAAATAAAAGAGCTATTACATAGATATTACAATAACACTAGTAGTATTTACGGAACATCACAATTTGTATACTATTTGCTTGAGGTATATGCCTGTGATGAAAACTGAGTAGTACTGTCATAATATTAATGAAACAGTGACATAGCATTGCCAAAAATATTRCATTAGGTGTTTAACCTAAAACCTCAGGCCCCTCCTTGCTACTGATTAATTAGAGAAAAACATCACTTACCTTTGCATCCAGTTGGCACAGTACAGGAATGTGTCTTGTTGATTTGTTCTATAAAATCCTCTAACTGAGATGTCATTGCTATGTGATACTTTACTGGAAGCTCAATTGAGATTTTACTGTCATCTTGATTGACTTTGAGCCTAAAATATTTAGAATAGATCATTTGAATATAAATGGTTATAAACAGGGCAATCATAAATATAATAATAAATTTTAAAAATACACCTAATTGCAAGATAGCTGTCATATAAAAATAAACTATATTCTGCAGCCCCTGATTTCAATATCAGGAATTATGGTATTTTTCCTCTGTTATTTTTGAATTTGTCTATCATAATTTTGACAAAAAAATGAGGTAACTATAACCTGTTATACAAGACAAAATAAGAGATATAGAGAAGTAACAATCAAAAAATTTTGCATCACCAAAARCATACCAAATCAAAGAAGTCATGCAACTTACCGTTTCTGCTTGAAGGACTTCTCTGGGGAGCTAAGGCAGTCATCACTACTTGCCGAGGGTAAATAATCAGCGTCTGATTCGTCTGAGAGGATTTCTCCTTCCTGCTCTGATCGAATAAATTCTTCAACGGCCTTAGAAGAATAAAATGCTCGTCCCTCTTGATTTATCCATTTTAAAACTTTCGTCATTTTCTCGATTTTCAAACCTTGCTTGGTAAGATATTCATTTGTAATTATTAGTCGCGAACCAGTTCCGACACCACGTAAAGAATGAGCGTACAGAGACCGTTTTTTGTTGTGAAACATTTCTTTTTCACAACGAAATCGAAGTCATTTCAAGTATCATAAGCGACACGCAAAAACACTGCTTGAGTATGTGGTTCGTGTTACACGCAGGAACTGCGCATGTACAAAAAGCCGTTGCTATGGATTACGTCATTTGTTTTGACCGCACGGCGTCCTAATGGCGTCCATTCTTGAAATCGTCGACATTTCGGCTTTTTCTCGGGATTTTCGGCTATTTACGGATCGCAATCGATTGGATAACGAACCAACATTGATCTCCTACGACATATATCAAAATGGTGGCCAAAACTTTTACTGTTAGCGTTTGATGCTGAGTTTAAACGATGAATAGCTGATTAAGCACATTCTACTGACCGAAAGTAAACCAAAATATTTACGTAGAAGTACAAAACTTGGCACACGGGTAAAAAAGGAAATTAGTTATCAATTGACACGGTTTTCTTTGTTATTCATAAGGCTTTATTTTTATTACAACCCTCATAAACAATGGACAAACTTAAAGCCCGGGGAGGGAATTGAAATGCAGCAGGGAAGAGCGGGGCTGATATGAATTAATCTGATTGGCTCATTATGAATCGAAGGTCAATATATAGTTATAAACCCGGTTTATAACTATATATTGACCTTGAATTTATAATGAGCCAATCAGATTAATTCACATCAGCCCCGCTCTTCCCTGCTGCCTGACGAGTAAACTATCTGGGGAATAATACTATKCTACAGAACTAATCTAATTAATGTTTACATTCAAAAAAGCTATAGAGATATGTTTTCTAAACATTACATTATCAAATCGTTGCTAGTGCTCATAGTTTATGTGTTAAAGTTTACAACACAGTTTTTAAAATAATAATTCTTACAAACTGGGTTTTACTCATCCTTTTCACTACATTTCTTCTTGTTTTCCTGGCCGCCATTATCGAGATCTTCGTTAGGTCTTTTTGCCGTAGATGTGGTACATTCATTGAAAGGCTTACCTCCACTGTCAAAGCACTTGGAAATCGCTGTCTTGACACTTACACTTGGCCTTTGCTATTTTTGAAGGCTTCTTTCTGGAACAAGTTTCTCTAGTCCACGCGTAGCCGTTGTAGCCCTTAGACTGTGGTTGGTGAAATATCCCTCGATTTCGGCTTCTTTGCACAACCTTCSAACTGTTTGCCCTAGTGTGTTGTGTCCAACAGGATTGGCAGTGAACCATTCTGAAAGTATCATATAATATATGTTAACATCACAGTAATATATACTATTATAAAATAATTAATCATAGACTACCTTTGTCGCTGTTTGTTTTTTGGGGAGCCAAATAGAACAACTGCTTGTCAGCTACCGTCTTTGGGCATTTAGATACATATTTCTTATATAAWTTCACCAGGCATCTTTCAGGTCGCTCTTCGTTTGCATAATGTTCAACTCGTTTTCCTTTGAATGAACGATGTTTCAAACCTCCAGCGTTGTTTTTTTCTCCATACGAGGTGTACACCAACTTTTCGGGTTCCCCATTCTTTGGTGGTACTAAGCTAAGCTGTGAAAATGAAAGGCTACGATGCTCTTTACCACTACGCAAGGAGAAATTCTTCCCGATGAGGAACACCATAGTGT